AGGTCTGGCCGAATCAAGGGATTAACTTTTTTCCCTAATTCGAACCAGCCTTTCTCTCTTTTCTCTCTTCTCTCTTTTCTTCTTTCCTCTCCTACTTCTTGCTGTCTACTTTACTCTACAGTCAACGAACAAGACAGAATTCTATGGCAGGTCAAACTTCAACACTAACCTATCAAAAATATTTGCTGTTACCAATTTTGTACCTCATTCTTTTATTATAAATTAATAAAACTTGCTGTTACCAATAAAAAAATTATTTGCCTCAAGCAATATTACATGCAAATTATAATTGCTTAAAAAAGAGGGAAATTCATATGTACATGGGAAGGCAGGACAATCGACTTTGCTTTCATGTATTCTCTAACTGCCAAGTCATATTCACCCTTGTTGATGTTCCCACGAATTGCACTTGGCAAATTAAATAGTGTGCGGAACCTCTGGAGCATTCCTTGAACAGACCTGATCTTCTCTGCTTGAACCTACCATGATGTCAGTGTAGGAAAATAAAATGCATATCAAGCTCATTTGACCGAAATAATATCCAAAATCTTCAAATTTGATGATCAATTTGGTATTAAGATTTTTCCAACCTGCCTCTCAAATAATGGTTCAAAAGCACGCTTTGCCTGTGAACTAACACCTTGTATACAATTATACAAATGAGTAGTTCCTGCACCATCAGGATCTTCCTCTATCCGCCTCAATTTTGATTCAATATCTGCTCAAGAATTAAAACTGTCAGAAGTCCTCACAATAAAATTAACTGAGAAACATTCAAATGACAAGAAAAGTGATGCACCAGAAGCACAATAAGCATTATTTAAAATAAGAAATGAAAAACCACCTAGTGACAACTAAAACAAACTCGAATATACTGTTATCACAAAGATTATACCAACAAATCCAGATGAGATACAATGGTAGCATACCATCAATTGTTGTCTTGCAGGAGACAAAACAGTCAAAATTTTCTTTTACTAACTGCTTTCTCTGTTGAGTCCTTCCTTTAAGATCAGTTTTTAAAGCAAGAGCACCAGCCTCCAAGTCAGCAGCACTTGTTTCTTGGTGTATCCGGGATAAGAATAACTTTGAATCGAACTTCTCAGAAAAATACATCAACTTCTCTGAAAAAAATGCACACAGACATCCATAGTGATGCCCAGACATGATCCACAAAAAAATGGCCATTAAATATCAAAATAACCAACAATGCTCCAATAAAAAGTGACAAGACATTAATACAATGCTTACAAATATAAAATTTGCATTTTGTAGACAATTGATAACATCCCAGGAAGATATTTCTTGAGAAAAGTAACTAAAAACAGCCCATAAGGGAAATCCTCAACACAACAAGGGAGATCAATACGTTCTTCAAATGGACAAGGAGATCAGCTAATGGTTTAGCTGACACGTTGGCTAAACAAGGGACTGTGAGGGAGAGAATGTTCTGGGCAGTTTTGTAAGAAAGAGTACTGAGGGCTCAACACCTGTTTAGGGATTGACAGCTGTACTTAACTCTGGAAAGTTATTCTTAAGTTGTATTAATGAAGTTACCGTTTCCAATAAAAAAATGTAACTAAAAACAAAAATAATCAATGAAGTACCATGAAGGTAACTCATAGTTCATACTGTTTCCATCTTGTACAGACAAGAAAGTAAGTGTTGTACATAGTTTCCTTACTGCACTACTGTCCAGCAGTAGCACCTTGTATATGTATATTTATATATATTTTTTATTCATTTTGACCTATATGTAGCGTCTCTTCAATAAAGTAAGGTTCCTTGGAATGGGGATTAATGCTACTAGAAAACCCTTTAGCTTCTGGTTTCTCTCTTCTCTCTTTATGGTTTCTATATCACGTTATTTAGACTGGTCAGTTCTGAATCCTTGGAGTCTTGATCTCCACAGGTCATATGTGTGTGTGTGTGCACACCCACACTTATTGTCAAAAAGGTTTCTTAATTACATCAAGTAGGAAGCTTCTCTACATGATTAAACTTATTTCTGCCACAGGGAGGAATTTGGTGACCCATCTAAACCATCTATCAAGCTCAGATAGGGGGGCCACTGGATTAGCCATGCATTCATTCCCACAATCTAAATCAACCTTACCATATCATATACCCAACTTTGTACCAGTGGTTTCCCATTAATATTAACTGTTTAAAGTTTTCAAGTTTTTAAAATAAAATCTGTCCATAACCTATCAAAAAAATAAAACTTGTCCATAAAAGGTGTTTATTTTGACCAAATGGCAATTCTGTTGGGCCAAAACCTATGATACCCAGATACTTGTACAAGGGTGCCTTATCCAGGTCACATAGGTCAAAAGTTTTTCCATGAATATAGGGTGGAGAGAAGATCATGACAGAACCCTCTCAGAGAGATTTATAAAACAGAGGCCTCTGCTCTTTTAAGTTGAAGGTTGTCTCTTAAGTCAAAAAGAACCATTTTCATCTCTGATCAGCCACATTTTGACAATAATATCCTTTAAGGAGATAAAAAATATCTCAACCTAGTGTGTATTTCAAAGCTGTTTTGGTTCAGTTGTACTGGTTATATGCAGGGCGGTGGCCAATTTGGGTTAAAAAAAAGTTAGGGTATCCTAGGAAGGAATGATGTCTCGGTGTTGCCCACAAACAGTAGAGGAAGTGTTAGTAGATGTGTCTTTTGCTTGCTTGGACTTCTGAGGATGGAATTCTGTCTCACTTGAAGGGGTGGAGAAATTCTGCAGATATTGAAGCAGAGAGTTTCTTTTCTGGATAAAATAAAAGATGAGGATGGAATTCTATTGAAAATCAAAGAAAGAGAAAATCTTTGGTGATTGTTGCTAAAGAGAGGGTGATGCAGTTTAAAGGATTTTTGTATGTAGCATCGTTTGCTGGAGTGGAAGTTTTTGAAAGGAAGAAAGTGGCTGATTTGTTGCAACAATTTATTGAGGCAAGAGGTTTTGGCTACATCAGGAAGGACAAAGTAAAAACATGTGAGGAAGGATAGGAAAAGGATTTGGAGACTGGTTTGGTATTTCAGGCTTCTGTCAATTTGCCAATCATTTCAGAGTAGGTGGTTGTGGTATGTGCATTTGAGACTCAAACATTTTGAAGACAACAAGGTTCATTCTTTTTCATCTAAAAATTTGGAAGGTTTGAATGCTTTTATCATTTGTACAGAATTTGGTCATGTTGTTGTAGCTAAGCAGTGGCCAATGTCCAATAGGGTGGAACTAACTAACAATCCCAAAGATTAGTTGGTTGGCTCCTTTACCTCTGCTTGACTAGACCTGACATATCCTATGCAGTTGGTGTGGTAAGCCAATATATGCATGAGCCAAGGACCTTTTATATGCAAGTTGTCAATAGAATTCTTACATATTTGAAGGGATGTCCTGGTCAATCATGGACAGTTGAAAATTGAGGCTTATACAGATACAGAATGGGCAGGATTTGTTGATGATGGGAGATCTACATCCAGATACTATACTTTAGTAGGGGCAATGTGGTTTTATGGAGAAGCAAGAAACAATCAGTTGTTGCTCATTTTAGTGCAAAGGCAAAATACAGGGCAATGGCGCATGGTGTGTCTGAGTTGCTTTGGTTAAAAACCTTATTGATAGAAATGGGAATTCAGACAGATACTCCAGTGAGACTTTACTGTGACAACCAAGCATCTATAAACATTGCTCATAATCATATGCAACATGACCGTACAAAGCACATTGAAGTAGACCAACATTTCATCAAATAGAAGATAGCCAGTGGAGAGATTTGCCTACCCTTCATGAGATCAGGAGACCAACTTGCTGATTCTCTCACCAAGGGGGTCTACAAACCAAAGTTTGACAATAATTTAGGCAAGCTAGGCATGATAGACATCTATGCTTAGCTTGAGGGGGAGTGTTGAGAATACATTGTATTGAGAGGTTTTTTTTTTGATAATTTATCGAGAGGTTTTTTTTTCTTTACCCTCTTTTATATTTGGGCACCCAAATAAGGACATTTTTGTAATCTGTTCTTTTTATCAATAACAGGAATTCATTATATTAATAAATAAACTAGTTACAACACTCCAGAGAGAGATAAAATGGCTTAACTCTTTCCGAGAAAACAACATAAAAACTTACAATACAGCACAAGACATTTGATCCCTTCCCATCCCCTTCTTTGCCAAAGCATCTGCAAATGCATTTAGTGTTCTCTTCACCCATTGAAATTAGATTTCCAACCCCCTAATTAGCCATTTAATTTCCCTCCTCTCATTAGCAAATTCCCAAAGTCCACTTTCCTTCTATAACCAGCTTAACACTAGCTTTGAGTCCCCTTCAACGACTAGCTTTGTATATTTAGTTCATTGGTCTTCCTTATACCCTCCAGTACAGCATAGACTTCAGCTCTAAGAGAGTCCCCAACCCCAATGGGACCTGAATACATTGCATTCACCTCCCCATTCTCATCTCTAAAGATACCTCCTACACCTGAAGGACCTGAATTGCCCTCGCTACTACCATCAAAATTTAACTTTATAAAGCCACAGCCTGGTGGTGACCACACAAGACAAGCAGAAGAACGAGCAAGAGCAGAATTAGCCACCTCCATCCAACTGTTCAGAAACATATCCGTCGAAACATCATCAAACAAGTCCAAAGATTTTAACTAGTGCACCACCCTAACTGTTATTACTTCAATAACACCGTCTTTATTTCTTTCATTTTCAGAAAAAAGTTCTGGAGTTCCTTTCCTCCCAAATAGTCTAGCAAATAGCAGCCCTCACACACCTCCACATAATCTTTACCCTTTTCTTTGGCCATCTAAGGAACAAAGAGTTAAACAAGCTTTGAATATTTGGCGGTGGGGTCCACCTGCAACCACATAGAGAAAGAAACCAGTCCCAAATAACAAGCACCAAAGGGGCAAGAAATTACTAAGTGGTAAGAGCTTTCACCATTAGCCTTGCAAAGAATGCATCGATTTGGAGACAAGCACCAAAAAGGCCTTTTTCTTTGGAGTAAGTCACAAGTATTACATCTATCCAAGAAGGATTCCCAACAAAAATCTCCAATCCTTAGAGGAATTGGCTCACTCCAAACTTCCTTTACTGGAAAATTTTGTGCAAAATTACTGATTGAACGCAAGAGGGACTTAAAGAAGGAAACACAAGAGAAGGTCCCCGAGGGAGCTAGAGTCCACGATCTCTTATCCCTCTCTGAGGGATCCAACACCACCCCATTTAAGATCTGAATCAGATTCATGACATTTTCAACTTCTAAATCCCTTATAGAGGTGTAAATCGGGCAGTGCCACCCGTGGCCCGGCCCAAATTTGGACCGGCATGGCACAACGGCACGCAGGCCGTGCCAGGCCCGGCAAAATGGTCCAAGTCGTGTTGGGCCTGGGGTTCCAAGTCCATGGGCCAACACGACACGGGTTGCGCTCGACCCGCCCGATGAACTAGTCATTGGGGACTTTTTTGGAGAGGGTTACAGAAATACCCCCCAACAACTATATAGGGGGGTATTTATGTATTTTGGTTTCTTTTTTTTTGGGGGAGGGGGGAGAAAGAATGAGACAAATGCCCCCCAACAGCTATATAGCAGCTAGTTTGGGGGGCATTTTGGGTAAAGTGATAAATAACTTCACAATGACCAAAATACCCCTTCCAATAGCTACACTTGATGTTTCACCTGAAGCAGATGATTAAAGTCAAGAACAATAGGAGAAAATGATGAAGTCAATATTTTTTGTATACTCAATAGTTGTATAGCATTTTTTCAAATTATTGTAATTTTTTTTATTTTATTTTATTTATTTGATATTTTTTAATAATGTAATTTTTTTATTTTCAATTTGTAACTATATTGCATTTTTTATATTTTATTAATTTATTCCATTTTCCAATTTTCATATTTCATTCATTTGACCATTGTATGCTTTGTATCATTCAAATTTAAATGAAATAAAATTCCTATTTTTCTTCCAATTTGTTATTCAATTTGAGTCTTTGTCTCTTTGACTTCTTATTTGGTAAAGTATTTTTTTCATTTCTTTGTTAGATTTCTTATTTTTTCAAATAGTTCCCAAAGGAAAGTTAAATGTTTTAGTTTTACTTAGCAAAGAAATAAAAAAA